AAATAATCTCTTAAACAGAAGCTCCTTACTTTCAAAGTTCTTGAGTACTTTTCCTCGAACTAAAAATCACCAAGTTTCTGAAATCCAAGTATTTGTAGTATCTCATCCACTGTGATCAGAAGATAAATAAAAAACACTTTCATGAAATCCCCATTCATTCTATGCAAAAAAAAAAAAATCAACAGATCAGTATTGTATTGAATCCTTAGTGGAAATATCTAATACCATACTTCTAAATGATACATGCTTGTGTATTTCACTAGCAAACCCACCAAGCTTGACTATGATCTCCTACCTTAACTTAGCCCCTCATTTTCTGAAGAAGGCAATCAGTCTGATAACTATTGCCATCTCCCAACATGAGAACTGTGAAGCACTAACCCCAGTAGCATTTAAAATCTCCAACAATTCATTCATCAATTGAAATTGTAGAACAACTCACAAATTTTCCTAGTAAATTACATTGTATCTAGGAGGAGGGAAACAATCTTGATAAGTAGGAGTTGGTAATTTCTTCAGCATTTCATTCATACAGTGAAGCTTCTTCTGATTCATCCCCTGTAAGCATCGATATCGTCTCTTCAAAATTCTTGTACTTTATCTGCTTTTCAATTAGTTGATTCCCCGGACATTGATATATTGAAGCATTGAAATTTGTTCTTGAAAAGAGACAACAACAAACCGTAAAAGAACTCTGGTGGTGTGCCACACAAGCACAGAAAGAGGTACAACTATAGGACAAGGGACACCGAGTTGTGCATGACAAGCACAAAAGTAACGCTACTATAGCAAGCCAAAGAATTTTGTGATTTTTCATCATTATTGTAGAAAGAGGCACAACAGCAGACCAAGGAACTCTAAGTGACACTTTGGCCTAGAAAGGAGAAATGGGCCTTCTCCCCACTCTCTAAGGCTTATTTATGGGCAAAAAATTTGGTTTTTTTGTGCCAAAAATCAAGAAAATTGCCATTTTTAAAAGGAAACCAGCTTGAACAGTAACTCGATCTAGTGGCTATAGCTTAATCCGCGACCTCCCTAATGATTTTTGGTTGTCTTACGAGATCCACGTGATTGCAACCCAGATTACTAACCTAGCCCGCCAACTGCTAAATGTGTGACATGCACATTTAGTGTGATAGTGATTTGGAATGCTAACCCAGCCCACTCCTTGCCACACGACTTAATCCCACTTTGCTAACCTATCCCAACTCAACCTATCAATCCATATAAGTGCCCAAGCCCACTCCTAGCAACTGACTATGGCTGGTAGCTCGCGTAACCACCCGCACTACGTCGCTCGACCTGAGCTCCAATGCCTCTAGCCTTTCCCACATAGCCCGTGAATCGCCGCTGACCCGTGACCCACCAGCCAGTCTCTATCCTATGACTTACATTCCTCGCGTATCTCCCGATGCTACCAAGTGCCACCTGCTGACCACCGCAGTGGTCGAACACCATTTTTTTAATTATATTTTTATTACTTTGATTATTTTCATATAATAAAACAAAATCAATTAAAAATATGAGATAACTAATTTTACCATCTATCGCAAATTGCGATGCATTTTTAGCAAGAATTATTATGATTTAAACTAAAAATCATCCAAAGATCTTATTTCAATAAACTTATAGTCAAACTAACCGCTCGATGAGATGAACCAAATAATTCCCAAATTGATCCAAACCAAGCCGAATCTAGCCCAGATAAGGCTGTTAAACCACTTTTAAAGGCTTTGAGTGGTTAATTTGAGGGTCAAATAAACTCTAACTTTGATGTACCTATAGTCAAATCAAGTGTCTCGAAAATGAGAAATCCAATGAGTCCAAGATCACCCGATTCTGAATTCATTAAAGTAATCAAATCATCTAAAATTTTCTTATAATAAAGGCGAATCAATGTTGATCGTTCGATCAGGTGATTATGACAGTTATTCACCAAATGATGAAAATGCCTTATTCTCGAGAGCTATAAATATATCCTCTCTTCAATTGGAAGAGAATGAGCCTAATTACAGTGATATTTTGTATTGAAAATTCGACATTAACTCCCGACCTCCATGGCCGTCTACCAACACGGACCGCTGTCTGTCGGGCGCCGTCAACCACTGCTGGTCAACCCCTGCTTGCTGTTGTTGTTAGACTTTGTTCAGGGAGCGAAGAACCCTGTTAAATAACGAGGTACTATATTAAGTAACAAAGAACTCTGATAAAAAATGAAGTATCACAAACACCGTGCAATGATGTACCTCAAATACTATGTAATAAATACCCGATGATAACTCCTGCTAGCAATTATTCTCGAGCGATGTATTCAGAATACGATAGATATTTATGTATACTGTGTACAGACAAACATTATACTTGGTGTAATATTATACTCATTTCCTAGTTGCAGAATAAGGGTCTGTCATTGTATTTGTAAACCTATATTGAATTATTTTAATTGAGCTAAACCCCATGATTTTTTCTCTTACCGTGCATTCATATAAAAAGTCTGCGTATTCTTATGTAACTTTTTTCATTATTTCTGTGCGTGTTGAATTTTCATTCTGATGTTTAAACGTTAAATTATTACACTTCACATATCATCACTCTATTATTTGCTCTATAATTTCTGCTTTTGGGGGGAACAAATTTTATAAATTCATTTAGGCCCCAAAAAATCGGAAATTTCAATTATCATAATTTTATTAAAATACCATATTGAAATACATAAGAAGTTGGTGCTATGTATGGAAATGACCAAATTTTAATTGTGGAGCCCCACAAGTCTGCCGAAATTGATAATATAATAATCTAACCAAATAAATTTGCAAGACTAATCCACTCAGCATGATGCAGATGTCAATTTTCAGCATCTTATGTAGATTGTGAATGATTTTTAGGCTATAAATAATTAAATATTAAATAAATTGTTATTAAAATAATATATCTATAGCCACATACATACCTAAAATCAAAATTTCAATAAGAACCAACAACATTTAGTCAATTAGAATGAGCAAGAAATTGGAAACAAATTTGAGCAACTTTAGCTCAATAGGTTACACATGACCTACTAGAATATTATGCAAATGTGGCATTTAGGGGTGTAAGCAAGTCGTTTTGACAAAAAGTGTATTCGTGTTCCACTCGTTTATTATTCGAACACAAAAAGTGTGTTCGTGTTCGACTTATTTGCTTAGCAAACAAAGAGTCATTTTGACAACTCTAATTACACAATCGTTGGATGTTAAGTGTTGGAGCAAGATTTAACTCTTATTGATATATTGAAACATTATTTGAAAATAATTTAATATATTTTTATTCAATTAACTTTTTAAAAAATACTACTTATATATAATTGATGAGTTGTGTTCCGAGCCAAAAAGATTCGAACACTAACAAACAAATTTTTATTCGTGTTTGACTCGTTAACTAAAGGAACGAATCGAACACAAGCTTCTTAACTAGCCGAACACGAGAACAACGAGCCGTTTTGACAGCTCTAATGGCATTACATGAATAGTAACAAACATTTTAACTTGTCTAATAAGTATAATATGATTGTGAAAACTAGCATCAATTATAAGCATTTTTCATTAGCAACAATATAAACATTTTAAATAATAAATTATCAAACCATAAAATAATAATTCAAATTTTCTATTTTGAAAAATATTGAATATGTTTTGCTTCTTACAACCCCACTTTGATTTATACATTCATTTGTTTATATTTTGACATCAATTCTTATATATTTACTGTCACTTATATCAACATTTATTTTTATTTTTCCTTCATCATTTATATTTATATTATACTTTTACCTCTATTTATTCACACGTGTTTAAGCATATCAAATGCGTAGATGGACAATCATATAAATTCATAAACCACTTATATCTCTACCCACCGCAAGTGGGGAGGGAGAGTGAGAGAGAGAGAGAGAGTTTGCTTTAGGACTAGAACTAATTAAGCATATTTTTATACTCAATGTAATTATAATTATCCCACTTTATAAATCTATAATTACATTCCTATCATGAGTTCCCATAAATTTATTCGATTTTTACTAGAATAATAATATCATAATACATTACGTGAATATTATATAATTTCATGAACTAATGCGAAATCATAATATCGTGTTCTATATTGCAAGCTATTTCATCCTTGGTAAGAATATAAGCTCTAATGCCATAAGATTTTGCATGAGATTTTGTTGATCATTGTTGCACATATTACAAATTGTATATATTATTTATGTGATTTGCATGTTTTTTAAAGCCCAACTTGTTATGTGTTATATTGCATTTGTAATTCTACTCATGTTGGAATTATTTTCTAATGATATTGTTAGTCTTTATACCTATTGAATTATAACTATAATTTTTTTATTAGTAAATATAATTGCATGTTATTGCACAAATTTTCTTATTATCACCAATAATATCATCACATCCCATCAACTGGATTAAGATACTTGATTAAAGTTATAACATCGTTCTCAATTTAACATTCACCTTCCTAATGTTACCAAAATATTTTGTCCTAGAATATGCTTATTATTTCTATAACATAATCTTTCGAAAACAACAACACATGCTATTAAGTTTTATTTGAAAAGTTTTCAGATTTTATTATTATTTTCAAAGTTATTACAAATACTCGGTTCTTATTATTTCTAGTTTCATCAACTTATAAAAAGAATAACATCAAAAAATATTTATTAAAATAATGAAATAAATAATATATATTTTAAACTTTATCACTAGCTTATTTATATAATTTGAATCATTTAATATTAAAAGAAATTAATACAATATAATTTTTTATCTAAATAGAAACTAAACTAATAATAATAAAATTTGAAAAAAAAAAAACTAAAAATAGGCAATTATTAGTCAAATTGATTGTATATCAATTTGATCAAACTAATCAAATAAAATATATATATATA